AAAAAAATACTTATGAAAATAAACAATGGGTCTGGTTGTAGCCAGTAACCTTGTGCAAAAATAAACTTGAAACATAGATTTTATAATGTTTTCAGTTTTTTACCAGCTTTAAAAATGGTTATTAGACTGGGGGTCTTCCCCAATAGAGCCAGATTTACTAAACAGGGCAAACATAGCAAGGGAGTGCAACACCCAAAATAGTGCTATTAAGATTCAAGATATGCCTCATTGTTTTCATAATGGGGTTCAAAGTCAACGTCGTCATCCGTCTGTGAAATTTCTGCAACAGAAGCCACAGTATATTTAAAGGAACCTGACACAGAAAATGAAAGGGAAGTTTTGTTGGTGTTGGTATTGCGTGACTTCTTTTGGTCGGATGTTCCAGGTCATCGGAGTTTACAAAGCAAATGCAGAATTAGGTGTAATAACTGCAATAACTGCCACCATATCATTCTCTTCGCTTTATTTTACACGTTGAAAAAGGAACTACCAAAAATGTATATGCAATGTATATGGAAATAAAACATGAGAAAAAGGAGAAAGAGGGAGGAAAACAAAATAGAATGGGACAATGTGAAAACAGAAAAAGGCTGACGGATCTTGGTGACAACTGTAATTCAGTTTAAAGCAAAAAATAAATATAATATTTATTTTCAGCTTGCAGGATATACAGTGTCATTTTCTGAACACTTACTCGGAGAGCATGTAACACAAGTTTATTATTGCTGTACTGACAGGATTGTACCATCTACAACTGTAAAAGGTTGATTAAAGAAACGCACTTCCAACACCAAATCCAGTGAGTAAATACGGCTGATACAAGGTTATTTTTAATGTTTAAATATCATATCTTTTATATACTTCAGATTGTTTTTATATAGTTCTTGATTAAACAGACTGATTTTAGCACACTTACAGTGCATAATTACATAAATTGTAAATGTACAAATTGTTTTCCATATGTACATAATTTAATGTCCTAAAAATTGGACTGGACAATTCTCATGTTTTTTTGTTTTTATCATAAATAAGCCCAACCAATATTACATATTTATGTCTCTAAAAGAATGCAACAAACATAAAACCTAAAAAATAAAATGTGTTTTTAAATTTAAAAACAGAAAGCACATTTAATGAAATTAAGACTAGACTATTGTTAGCAGTTTGTTAAAAAGTGGGAAAATGCACATATAGAGATAGATATAAAGATATATGCATGTTATATGTGTGCCAGCTGGTTAACCAGTGGGCCACTCTGAAAGCAACTTTGTACCTGTTAGCATTAACGGAGGTGGGATTTGAGCGCATTGGCATGGACCTAATTGGGCCAGTTCACTGGAGTACATGGGGCTATAACTTCACCCAGTATGCCAGATTACCAGTCCAGCCCTGAATACATTTTCCTGGTGGACCAAGGCACTTTTGGGTTAATGGGTCGCCTGTGTATCAGCTGTACAAGCACTGACAGCAGGCAATTCATTAATTTTCATTACTGGCACTGAATTGCCCAGTCAGATCACTTAATTCAATTGGTCCCTCCCTTACCTTTGATGAGTGCTCATGCACTTTGTAAAAAACGTTTAGTGTGCAAGAAGCTGGAGAGCTGAGAGAAAACATGCTAGCTGAGAGAAAACAAGGTGCCTGCTACACCGTGAACAGTAGTACCAGCAACAACTAGTAACCATGCCTCATTGTCACAGTAGCCTGCTGCTGCTAGCACTAGGTGTGGAGAAGTGAAGAAAAGACGGAGGAAGATGAAATTTACATGGTAAGATAATAGTAAATAATTGGGAATAAATGTTTACTTTGGCTATGAGCTTCTGCTAATACCTAAAGTGTAGTTCTTAATTATTGCCCCATACTGCAGTGCAAATAAAAAGTAACTGAACAACAACAGTACAGACATAATTAAAACCTGTTTCAATATCAATAGTCAAACAAATGAATATATACATAATATGTGTACATGATAGCAATAAGGTTGGGACGCTTGAACCATTTGCTCTTGTACGTCAGCATCCATCACCAGCAGACTGATGAGATGGTGAAGCCTGAGTAAAACATCTGAGAGCAGAGCTACACACATTAGGAAGGTTATCACGTGAAAATCTTCTCCAGGTCCAGAAAAGTTAGCAGCAACTATACAAAAGAGGGGATAAACTCAGACCATTTTCACAGGGAGATAAAGTGCCTTGTGAACCTTCGTGGTTACATGGCGAGGGGAGGATGTTGGCTATGAAGGGGTGGAGCCACACAAGTATTTCACCTCAGCCTCCTTAAAAACATGGAGAGAGGTGGAATCCGTTCCTCTGGTGAGCTTAGCAAAGGTTTAAGATGACCTGGGGACTGAAGTGTCAAATTCAACTATTTCATCCTTTCTTCTTTGTGATGACCATCTAGGGCCAGTAGGCTAGGCTGGATGGCTCTCCAATGTAAAGTCAGTTGATGGGGGTATGTGGTGGGGGTGTGGTTGGTGGCTCAGCTGAAGGGGAGGGGTGGTGCAACAGGATCAGGGGTAGTGCCAGGGGAGGCTGGCCAGCGCAGTTGCCACTGATTGTTGAATCATGCCTCTACTATTTCATCAGCGCGCTGGGAAAGAGAGGAGAGTTGCACGGGAGCAATTGCAGTGAGCTGGGCAGATGAGAGAAAGAGTGGCTGCAACAGCTAGAAATAAGCAATATAAAGATTCACAGTTAATCACTGCTATGACCATCGTGTGTGTTGTGCTGGGTCAAACAGAAGCCAGACGTGTTACACCCCTCTTCAACAACTTGGTGCTATCTGGAAGATTTAAAAGGCATTTAGGAAGGACTCTTCTGGCCTGAACACCCTTCGGAAAAAACACAGGTAAGAAACACAACCAGTAAAAATTTTCACTCATTAGGGTATATATTGTTTTTCCTGCCAATTAAGGATAAACATCACACAAACCTTCACAGACACATCACACAAATGTTAAAATAATATTTTTCTGTTGGCTTAAACAAACTTACCATACTAATAAGGATTTCTGTTGCTAGATAGACCTTCACCAGTACCAGCTTTGAGACAGCCAACAAGGAAAAAACCCACGAGACAAATTATAGTTTCTGTAAAGGACCAAATATTCATGGTAATTTACATATTCACTGTTACATATTTACAAAAAAAGACAGTTGTTGGAATTAGCATATTCACTGCCTTCTTTCTTGCTTCTCATTTCCACAGCACAACACACACACCACCGTTCCCGTACCACACACACACGGTCACACAGACACACACACACAGCACACACACACACACACACACACACACACACACACACACTACAGCTTTTGCTATAAAACTCTGCGGTTTTATCTTTTAAACCGATACAATATGCAGAGCCTTTCTGTTTCTCTTGCACTGCACAGTACACCACAGCACCAGAAAACCCTTTTTCAGAATGCATCAATAACACTGTAAAACATATACTGTAGGGAACTGTAGAAATTCACTAATTCCCCATTCACACACAAGCAAATACTTGTTGCAAGCTTAAGTAATACCACACCTATCTTTCACATTTTTCTTTTTGCTCTTTAGTGTAAAGCACTAATATTTTTGTATCAAAATTGCAATTATGGTAGACTTTATGTTAGTGTAAGACATGCAGAGACATCATTATGAGTCAATCACGATGTCATAAGTCACTGGACACTGTGAACATCCACGGTTACCACTTCATGCATAATGGACCTTCCATGTGTATGGACATGTGCAGATATATATGTATGTATATGTATACATGTGTATATTTAGTGTGTACATGTCTATAAATAGGAATAGTAGTGGTACAATAGCTATATCAAGCTATATAGTTTATGTCTTCCATATTTCCAACTATATCCAAAATCACCTACTGTGTATGCTACCATTGTATATAGTGTATTATCTTACAAAAATACAAATAAGTACAATCAATGAAAAAAGTATTTCCTTCTGATATCTGTACCTGAGCTGAGGTGATGCAAATATTTCCCTGTTGTGGGATCAATAAAGTCTTATCTTATCTTATAAATATGCTGCAAAATGTGAGAGGTTACTTGATGTGAAAACTTGCAGAATGTAATGGAAGAACAATGGGAATAAATTCACTTGTATGTTCTTCTTAAAGGCAAACACACTGGTGGCTGCCAGTGCTACCCCTCAGCCTCCTAGTAGATGCACTGATGGTATAAATTTGAAAATCCTAGTTGAATTCCTACTGAAGTTATTGCATTCACAAGATTTTCAGAAAACTTGAACTCTGATCTTGATCTTAAGGTTGATCAAGGTCAGAGTTCAGGTCTCAGTTTCAACTGTGAAGTGAAGACTTTGAGCTGCAGGTTTGACAGGAAGAGTTGCTGCAAGAAAGCCATTGCTAAGATGTCAGAATAAGACAAAGAGGTTTGCCTGGGCCATGAAACACTCCCATTGCACTACTGAAGACTCAAAGAAGGTATTATGGACTGATAAATCAAAATTTGAAACCTTCAGTTCAGCACTCAGGATCTTTGTACGCAGTCAAGTAGGCGAAAGGATGGTTTCACAGTATGTGGTATCAACTGTCAAACATGGAGCAGTGGGATGGTCTAGGGCTGTTTTGCTGGATCCAGGGTCATGCATTCATGGGAGTTTGATGAGTTGAAGGGTTAAAAACTGGTATAAAGTCCACACTTTTTCCGTCAATTGTTCCGTCTGTCCTGCTCACATCTCCAATGGT